TGCGGACACTCACCAGGACACTGCCCAGGCCACAACAAGCAGACCGACCGGCACACACCGGCACACCATAGCGACGGACAGACTCCCGCAAAACGTGCACCGGGACACCAAACTGCCAACACCGGCGGGACCACTCAAGAAAGTTCGTCAAGGTACACTCAAAGGCAGGCGGCCCACCAATCGAGCTCAAGCTCCGATTTTGGACCCGTAGCCTTGGCTTAGTTTGGGTTAGAATCAGGCCTTCGACGGTCATGCCTGCTTCGAAAGTTGCAATTGCAAATTGCAACAACGCTGTCCGTGTACAGGTGAGTGATCAGCCCATCCTCCCAGCCTACAAGTATGGCATAGTATCGCAGAGTTTCTGTTAGGAGTAAGCCCCCGGACTCCTGTACAGTCAGGAGGTTCGCAGCTCACAGAGATACACAAACAATACGCATTAACACAAACACTCAACATTGCCAAACCGAGGAACGCGAGAATATTGGAGGGATTTCTCCATGCTTGCGCAAAAATGTTTTGGATGCAAGCCTCCGGCTCAATTCTGCCTTGAGCCCTAACAATTGAAAAGGTATGAAAAGGTCTTACTAATGTGCGCCGGCTGGGTTGCCGGCTTGTGTGTCACCATCACCTATGTGCGGCAGGCGTCTACGAATCTTTGGCAGTTTGCCCTCACCAACAGCAAACTGGACCTCCAGGTGAAACCAAACCAACGGCTTCGGCCTGCAATCACACAAGCAGAATGTCGGCAAAAATTGTAAGAGCTCAGCAACTTCAGGCACGTGTTTGCTGAGCCTGCACATCCTCTTTGGGAGGGCTTGGCAACTCGGCGGCTTCATCTGTCAGAGGGTTGGGCATAGGCCATGCACGCTGACGGGGAAGCATTCAGGAAACAAACAGTCCAATAGCATTCCAGATTCAAAACGGTAGGGCTGCATTACAGAGGCAGCAGACAGGCTACCCGTTGCAAGAGAAGTGGGCTTAAAGCGCCTGTCAGCTACAACAAATTGAGGCTTCCGCTGCCGTCAGTCTTTGCTTTGCACGTCATCTTGTTTTCTCGAGAACATGGTGAGGTGAGGGTTCTTCAGTGGAGGTGATTGTCTTATCGGATGAGGTTTGGTAGATAGGATGGCGTAATGTTGGGTTGATGATTCGGCTGTCGAAATCATGTAAAGAGTTGGTCTACGACAAGGTTGTCGCGAGGTTGTTGTGAAGTTTGCTCTATGGCTCTATATAGCCCTTGCTGAATTTAACATGTGGGGCTGAATACATTTTCTTCATACCAAACTAAGGGTTGGGTCGGAGGCCGCGTTAATAAAGACTCCTGAAATCATGACAAACCATTAGGGTTGGGTTTAGGGGCCATTTAGGGCTGAGGGTCTTAGTCTTAATTGAATGGGCGAGTACTAAGCAAGAGTCTAACAAGTTTGGACGAACATCTACCATGTGTGCATGGGAGCTTGTTTCCGTGTATATGAATCCTTTGCAATGTTGTGTACACTTGAACCCGATCTCAGAGAATTGCAGAGCGAGCGAAGATAGGGACTACTATAAGGTGAGTCGTCTAAACTCCTAGTATCCCCCTTAATCCTTAATAACCCCTATAATACTCCCCTATTAGTTTCTTGTTATCGTTTTAAGGGGTTTCTGGGTGGCTTCGCTCAATTTTTAGGAGGTGGGTGATTTTACACCCCCAGTGTTTCAAACACGGGGCATGGCTAGGGGTCGGAGCGCTGGCGCGTGGAGCGTCCTCGGAATGTTGTACGCCAATGACGACCCTCTCGATTTTCTGGGCGCTTCGGAGCACTGGCACGTGGAGCATCCTCAGAATTTTTGCCGTGTCGGCACGCTGGTGCTGGGAGGCGCGCCAGTGACGACCCTCTGAATGTAATGACGACCGCGCAAAAAGTAATCGTAGCAGTAAATTGTAACAGTAAATGTATAGTAATAATGAGTGGTAACACTAAAGTGTAATGCTAAATAGTAATATGGAAATAACCTGCAGGACCAATTGGTACACAAAGTTGTGCTCCACCCTTGATACCCTTCATGTTCCATCGAGTGCGTTTTTGAAACGTGTGCTTTTTGGAACGTTCAGGCGGATTTCGCAAAAGTTTACTTGCGAAACTTTTGGGCATCTCGAGCGCATTTTGTCCCAACTTGAGCGCAAAGTTCGGCAACCGAGCGCAATTTCAAAAAGTGTACCTTTTGCGTGTGTTCTGCCTGTACGTTGTTTAGCCATTGGAGCCGAATTTTTCCGTTACACACAAACTTGTGTATGAACTGGTCCTCCGGCAATATTAAATAGTAAGATTTGAGAAGTATAGTATATAGTAATAGAAAATAGGAATGGTAAATAGTACTAGTAGTAGTGGCAACTAGTAATTCAGGATTTCATGCGGTGCGGGCATGTAAGCAGACACCCGCATCAAATTACTGGAACAGAAAGAATGCAATGATGTAGCGTGGGATGGTGTGAGGATCTTGTTGTAAGGTTCTCGTACTGTCTTGGGTGGACTGTGCTGATGATGCTATGAGGTGCGGTTCGCGTCATGTTGACTCTTCGTGATTACTACGTGTGTTGCTAAACGAGTACCAGTAAATTCCAAAAGGAAATTCTTGCTTTGCATGTAAACGATCTTGATGTTTGGCTCAGACTTTTCCAACTTCTTTTGGGCAACGGAGCACTTCAATCGCAGCGCAAGATGGAGGCAAGCTTGAATCAACCACGTCTTGTCAAGCAGTTTAGTCTTTCACTGAATTTGGCTCCTGCCTGGCAATGCAGGCGCTAAAGCTGGCTGAGGACGCACAGGCGGTTGCTGGCTTTCGCCAGAGGCCTGCCAGGACCCAAAGCCCACAGAACTTGTGTGGCACAGCGCTGATATGCGCTAACCTTGTCGATTTCGGAACAACAGGCCGCGCCCATTACCTGCCAAGCAAGCCCGGGCACAAGTCGGCAGCCCTTGGGAGTGCAAATGGAAGAGCATCAGCACTTTCGCAATCGTACAAGAGATCTAACCGCGCCGGCTCGGCACGGCATCCCTTCCACGTTCACAGGCACCAGTATCACATGCCAGGCTCCCATTGCGCATGCCCAATCTGCACTTGACCAGCGGTTTGCTGGTTGCTTATTCTTAATTTTTGCAGTGCTCAGTGTTACGGCTTGTCACCCCGAGTTTCCATGGCAAGTGGAGCCGGTATGCATAGTTTGAGACATCTTCGTGAGCGTCTGCGTGCTCTAGAGCTTCTAACAAACAACATGCACCGACGTACACACGGCCACGTAGGTTCACCAACCTCTCTCTGAGCCAAGATGACATATGAGAGAGCGATGCAGGCAATGTGCCAGACATTGACGCATCTGGCAAATGATTAGCATGTCCCTGATCTCCGAGGAGATTTTGCTGCAGAATGCCGTACGCCTTCTTTGTCGTCGGCTGCGAGCTGTGGCAGATGGCTTCAAGCCCAGCTGATCCCAGCTGCATGCCTTGCTGCGCTCATCTCTAAAGAAAGCCAGCGTGTGGAGACGGGAGCCAGCGCAGATGCCGCCTTGCCGTCGACAATAAGCGTCCCGCCCACAAAGTGCAAATGTGTGGCATGCTGCTGCTCTGCAGCACTTGCTTGCACTACTTGTTGGTGTGGAAATACAAAGACAAATTGCATTCTTCAATATCATTTAGGTGATGGACTCCGTGTTGGGCTACCAGGTGCCACGGCAACACTTGACTTGCCTCTGTCTTCTTGTTCTCCAGCCTTGCATGACCTGCACTTCGTTAGGCAATGCCGATGACAGCAACGCGAACTCAAACATGCAACAGCTGTGTGATGATATTTTGCCCGCCAGAAGGGATGTCGCGCACATGTTGAGGCCCGCGTTGGTCGGTATGAGTTTGTCGACAGCATCCTGCGTGCCAAAGCTCCCCCCGGCGCAGACACAAGCAGCGCAGCAATATGCAGCACTCGTGCAGCGACAAGCAGCACCTTGGCCAGTACCAGATCAGACTGCTGCTCGGCGGCCTTGGCCTTCTGAAATCTGCGATTTGCATCGGAAACAGGCTCTGGAACAGGAATTGCACGTGCCTGGATGCTTGCCACTTCCTGGGCCAATTCGCCCATGCCTTTCTGGACCCGAGTAAGCTGTCAAACCAAGCATCACTGGGCATTGCACGCAGCGTGGAAATGGCAATGCCCGAAGCAACGTCACAACAAAGCATCAAAGCAGTGCTTCTCATTCAACACAAGCTTCATGCACCATGTCCATCAAAGCCAGCTGCTTTGGCAGTTTGGATGTGAGCGAATGCCAATAATATTGTTTCTTCCAAGCGGGGTCTTTGTCATGTGGCTGTGGATGAAAACTTCGGTTTGTTGCGGGTCCCCCAAGCCCCTGTTACACACCTCTCTGTCGCGGCCTGTACCAGGACTAATTGGGTGGTTCTACGGCGCACTGGCAGGTCTCGACAACTCCTATTTTCTCCGCTCTTATGGCCTGCCTTGATTTTAAGCGGCGTCCCACACTTGTTTGTTTTACAGATTTTCCAGTTACCACACGGCATCATGAGCGACTAGGCTAGGTCTGGTTGCCGGAAACACTCCGTACTCACGCTTGTCAAATGCAGCTGGCACTAGTCATGCTTTGCTGCGCAGTGGATGCAATTCTTAACGATTGGTGACCACGTGGTATGCTTTGTGCTGCCCTCTCTTTCTCGCATTGTTTGCTTTGCTTTGCTGGTGGGGGAAATGAGGTTGCCCTCTCCGCCCTCCCGCGCCACTGCGCAAGGTGTCCCTCACTCCGCGGCTCCCTGGTTTGGTTGAAGGAGGCTCTTCGGGGTCGTAGGCCGCCGATTTTCTGTAGCTGGCGCATCATGCTACAGATCAAAGCTCTGAAGAGCATCGCTCCATATACAGCTCTGCATGCGCAACGCTGGCGCTTGAATGTGACTGAGACCTGCAGGCCTGTGTTGGCACCCACAATCTGCTCGGCTGCTTTCTTGGCTTCTCCCAGCTCAACCTGTGAGCTTCGCATCACAAACTGCTGACAAACCATGGTCTCACGCCTCGATTCCCCGGATTTTGTTGGCGAATTCGCCAACTTTGTTTGCAGTGTCTTGGATGTTCTTGATCTGAGAAGACAAGCCATTGCCATACACGCATGTGCAGCTGCTGACCCGTGGTGCAGACCTTCAAATGCAAGTCGGCGAGGGCATCTGTTTGTACCTCGCAAACCAAGTGGTCTGTTTGACGCTGCCACAAGTTCAAAAGTTTCGGAGCCGGCCTTGAGCATATTTGTCACCTAGGATCAGGTCCAGGTGCCAAGTACCAGACCCATATAACAGGACTGGACAAAGTTCAGCAGTTCAGCCATGTTTCCTCTTCTATCTGGCTCAAACCCTCGCTCTTGGAAGCCTCGAACGAGACCCATGGTCCTGAAAGGGTTTGAGCGCACAGAAAGGCAACTGGTGAAAGACCGTTGCAGAATCAAGGCGCCTTGCTGTCGCATTGAGAAAGCAGCCCGTGAGGCACCACTAGCACTGAATGTGTCCCAAGTGTTGGTAAGCTGCATTACGCTCCGGCAATGTCTAACGTGCTGTGTGAATTTGGGTTCCAATCCAGCTGGTCATAGTACCCTACCTGGGGAGGTCTGTCTCCTGCCATGTGTGAAGAACATGGAAACTCCAAAAGGAAACTCCAACAGCGACTGAAATTTTCAACTCTTGTCTGTGAATAGTTCGGGGCTGCACAATCTTGGCCACTGCTGGCATTTTTTTGCTGGCGCTCTACCAGGCTGCGCGAGTCTGGGCTGCTCATGTTGAGAGCTAGGCCAGCAAGCTCACAGCAAGATCTGTCCTTGGTCCAGCTTCTTGGAAGCTCCAAGCGGCCGTACAGCACCACATCAGCACGCTTCATTGCGCTCCAAGCGGCTGGTGTGCTTTGTTGCGTTTCTTCTTCTCCTTTGCTGAATTGGCAAAGGAGTCAACTGCGCTTGCTGCCACTTCCGCAAGAAAAAGGAGAATGGGAACGGGAGAGAGGGCGGTGAAAAGGAAAGGGAGGGAGGCAACGCGCAGAGAGGGGCCAGAAAATGCATGTTGTGTGCGCGTGATTGCGCGTGTGTTGTTCTCGAATCCCTCGGCATATGCCTTTTCATCGAAGCAAAACAGAAAAGTGGTGATTCAAACGCATCAACGCTACTGCGCAAAGAAATGACAAAATGTGCAACCTCACCCTCTCATCTCGCCGCCCAATGAGAACGCAAAGACAATGGACAACATGCCACAGTCGGATTCACTGCATCAACTTGAGAGCCAGCGGCAGAAACGAAAGCTCAGCGTTCGAATTCTTTTCAATTAACCCTGCTCAAGACTAGAATTTACAGGACTGACTTGCAGCCCGAGCTTGACCAAGCCCTGAAAGGCCACACCGCAGACCTGCCCGTCCCCAGAGCAAGAAGCGCGTGAAGAGGTCTGAGGAAGCTGCACCAGCATCATATGCATCATCACATGCCCCCCCTTCCGTTTCCCCTTGAGGCAACCAAACAATCCCCTTGAGCAGGTCTAGCTTGAAATTTGAAGGTATTTTGCACCAAAGCGTCCCAATTCCAAGCCTCGCACAGTTCAGAATAGTGAACGAAACTCCGTCTCACAAGGGGCTTTTGTGCCATGAATGAGCCCTACCCCTTGCGACTGTTCTTCTTCCGGTTGTTCCTCTTCTGCAGGCTTCACCCACCTGCGAAGTGGGCGGGGATGTCCTCCATAGCCGTAGCCCAAGTATCCGGGCCGGGTTTTTGGCGATGACCGGGAGGCGGCATCACAAGCGCCCTATCACGTCTCGCGACTGTCTAACACCCCTTGCCCTGATCTGGGTCGATCCGGGCGTTCCCGCGTGATCCGCATTCTCAGAATTCCCGGAGCGTTGGGACCTGCTGCGCGGAGCGTCCTCAGAATTTTGCCCGGAATCGGCAGTCTTCTCAGAGTTCCTGGCGTAAACGGACGCTTCGCATGAAGCGACTTCCGCCCGGAATGAAGTGCCCTTTCAGAGTTCGCAGCCTGTCCGGACGCTTCCGTGTGGAGATGGGATCGTGTGATGAGGTATGTGATGGAATGTGAGGTTGATGGCATGGTGTCAGGTTTTCGTGCGTTCTTCACGAGATCAGCCCTTAATGGGATGAAATGGGATGGATGGAGTGCTGGTTGGGTGCATGTATACATGGAGACATGAATGGATGAAGTGGTGTTAGATGTCGCGGCGCTAACTACCTCACCGCCCCAAAGGCTTTCGGGATATTCGATCTCTAGTTACATCCTGCTGCCCCCCCGCCTGCCCCATGTTCCCGCTTACCTCCATACTGTTGACCTGAAATGCTCTTTCAACTTGGCTTTGAGAAGAATTTACGTAAGAATAAGTTGTTCCCCGGGTTTTCCCAAACAACACAATAATTATTCCACAAAGACACAACAGCTTGTGAGGGAAGGCCAAAATTCAATTTGGGCATTCCTTTGAAGCTCTCGGGCTACACGAGTTTACACCATGCCCTTGCTTTTCCCGTTCTCGAACATGCTGCATCCACTCAGCAAAGCAACATAGCCCTGCGCTTCATACCCAGCAAGAACTTGCCCGCATAGCAAATGCGCCGCTCACTGCTTCGACATAATCATGCGGGCTTACGCTCCGCTCGCCTCGAAGATTTCTAGTAACGGCTTACTGCTTGTAGGGGTATGTTTTCTGCGAAGCTAAATAAAGAGGTTCCCGGGTTGCTCGCTGAATTCTCGCATGATGTTCTCGATGTTCACATGAAGAGGCAGTAGGGCCCTCTAGGACTACGGATCATCAGGATGCTTTCACGTGAGAGTCTCTTGACTGCTGCAACCACTTCAATTTGTACTCATGACTCATGTTGAATAATGATTCCATTAAGACAGATGCGACGTCCCCTTCATGGCCCAGCAAGGATGCCAACGACTGTTGAGATGCCAATCGAAACAAGGGGTCCAGAACGAGCGCGAGGTGTCGCGAATGGGAGAATATGTGATGACTGGAACATTATCCCAAGCTTGCTATTAAAAAGGGGGCAATGCCACAACACTGTGGTCGCATGTTGAGCTGTGCGATCTGTGTTGAATCCAACAGGAAACAAAGTATGCCACACAGTCCTCGGGCTGGCGCTTGTGCATTAAGTTTACCAGGGACACATAACCCACACCAGAGGCGCACGGCCTTCCTACGAGTGACCTTCAGCCCTCCATCTCATCGCATCTCATCACTACCCCGTGCAGTATTGGAAGATCCGCTGCAGAGTTGGCAGAAGCGGTCGGCAATGTTTGCAATGAGCTACCAGTATCGAAATCCATTCTGGCGGATGCTCTGTTGAGTGCAAGCCCTTCGCAATTTAGTCTCGAGCGTTCTTATCATGTTCTTCTGGCGCATCTACCTCGACCAAGTGGAAACAAAGTCTGCCGCAAAGCGAAGGTATCAACCAGTGCCTCTTGTATTCCTGAAGATGTCACCATAAGGTGCTTCAAGCCTCCAGGAATACCATGGCCTGGCTAGGAGGATGCTGGCAGCTGGTGTGGTAATTCAGACTCTCCGGTGCCTGGGTGTGGGAGACCATGAGCATTCCTTCCATAGTCTAAAGTGTGCAGTCGGTTTTGTGTCATGCCATGGCTCCTCCTGTGTCTCTTCATGAGCAAATGTGCTCTGTCTAGGTCATCCCTTGGCTTATCAAGATCTGTGCACGCAGCATGAAGGCCCTTGACGAAGCACAAAACTCTGACAGGCCCCGTGCTCGCTCGTGGCGTGCTGGACGAACAACTCAAAATGCTGCTGCGCATACCTCAGATGACACTTCATGAATGCAATCTGCCCGTGGAATCTTCAGACATCCTCGCAAAAATCCAGCTCTCCAAGCCAATCATCTCAGGTACCGCTTCAGCAGGGCCTTCTGCGCGCCCTCTTCAGTCGTCTCCTTTGGCTCACAGACCATGTCTGCAGCACGGCTCACAAAGTGGAAGAATGCCCGTCCTCACAAAGCTCCCTTTCCATCGGAAGAATGTACACACGCCATGCTGGGAACACAATCAACACTAAGATGACGGACCTCATCAAGGAAGAGCAGAAAAATGTCTATGTCTAGAGCCAAGCAAGCTCTGAGCTCACGGACATGACCATCTTGGAAATCAGGGGCGGGCCTCGGGAAGTCGCGCATGCTGCCTTCAAACAGTTCCCGTGTCTCTTCAATGTCTGATCCTCCAAATCCCTTGAGGGGTCTTCACATGGCAAATAGTCCTCAGCTCATGTCATTCCAGATGCTGCGTCGGTCGTGATGTTTGTTGCAGTCCGTGTTCTAGCTTGCGGAGACTAGCTGGGTGCTAATCGGCCTCTACGCCTGTGCAAGTACATGCACGTACAATACCTTGTTGTGGAGAATGGCAGAATGAATGCCAGAAGAACATGCTTTCCGATGTCCGCAGCAAAATCGGAAGGCACATCCAAAGAAAGCTGCTCATACAACGAACACGGACACCACCTGTCAAACCTGCAGAGGCTGCCACAGTCATGCTTCAGGCCAATTGCCACCACGTCAACGGCGGTGTCGAAGCTCTGCCTTTAGTTGAGGCTTTGGCATTACCTTTACACCTTTGCCAGAACCAATGCGATCCAGTCGCTCCCAAGAGAATCCAATGAGGATGCCCAACCCTCACGGACAAATCTAGTTTGCATGGGACTTCCAGCACACAGAAACTCTTCGAAGGTTTTGCTTCAGCACTTGATGAGAAGCTGCAGGCTGTGAGCCTGAAATCATCTTCTCTGTTGCCCCTTCAGCAATCTCAGAGTCCTCGCCAAACAGGTGGTTGTCCTGTCAGCAGGTGTCGATGGCACGAAAGAAGTCATGTGGCAAATGCTGCAGAATGCTGTCATAACACTGCTCAGGCAGGCTAAGCCCAACATTACCGACGGCAATCTGAAGCCAACAGTGCCAGAAAACAACAGCAACAAGGCCGAGGCCACGGACATTATACCACCTGCAGCCCAAGCAGCAGTATAACCCTAAACCCCGAAATCCATGCCCCCTAAACCCCGTGTACCATAGAACCCCATAAACCCAAAACCTGAACCCTAATCCCTTCCTTTATTCCTTACCACGCACCCTTGGCGTCTCGGAAAGCGAGCCGCTGTTGAGGGTTTCGGGTGTAGGGGATTCAGAGTTCATGGGTTTCAGGGTGTATTGGGTTCAGGATTTAGGGCTTCCGAGCCGAAGCACCCAAGACACAGAACTTGCTTGCGGTTTCTAACCCCGACACTCTCGATTTAGAATTACTGTAATACCTGCATTAGGCCTCAAAATCTACAAGTACTACCTACATTGGGCTAGGGCCGGTGTGGAGCCTTGGGGTAGGGAATAGAACATCACCATGGGAAACGAAATGGAACGTGTCATGGAAACTGGAGGTTGACAAGGGCACTGCGATTTTTGGTATGTTTAATTATGTTTAATATCAGTCCACGATGAAAGCAGGATGACATTGCTCGGCCATATTCTACGAAGTAGCCACAAAGATTCTATCAGACAGCATGATGAATGCTTGATGCTCAACAGGCACACAATCTGCTTAAATCTTAGAATCAGCGCCAGCAAAAAAAACTTAACGAGACGAGTAAGTATACTTTGCATCCGGTCAACGCGACGACCAAAGTTTTCATGTCGTTTTCATTGCTGCACAGTTCCACACGTTTCGGTTGAGTACTGGCTCAGCTGCATGTCCGACTCAGCAAGACCTAGAACAGACTCAGCCGTGAGGTGCTGGTGCGGGTGGTGCTGGTTGCGGCGACAGTGGTCTTAGGCTGGTGCTGGTGCTTAAGGGTTTAGCATACCCTGTATCACCAAGGCGTGGGAGGCTTGTCACAGTTGTTGGCTGGTCTTGGCACGCATGATTAATTTCGAACCCATTACCACCACAATGTTTGTTAAAAGCCGAACAACATGAATCGTCCCTGAGCCATGAAATGGCTTTCGGGAAAGAACTTTGCATTGCCAGCGGTGGGGCCGGGCCAGCCCTGAATTCTGCGACGAAGTTGCGATATCTTAAACATCCCCTATTGCGAATCACAACGTCGCGTAATCACACACACACACACACCCAGCTGGGAGGCCGTATGTCAATGCGCTGCCACCTCATGTGCCCGTCTGGTGGCATCCCACACCGTATAGGTCAAAATGGCTGCAAGCTCCATGTGCAAGAACACATCGTGAGTGACGTCCAACTTCGAAAACCAGCGCTGATGCTCCCGCGCAGTCTTGCCACCCCCGCAAAACGAAAAAGATATGCTGCTACTAAAGTCAGCCACGGGAGGGCCCGCCCTTTGATCTGACGTCTTGGATGTGCGTGTCTCAAAAATCAGGTTCCACATTTTCCCAAAAGCTCTATCCAGCCCCAGCTAAGACCAGCGATCCAAGGGGAACAAAAATGGCGCAGTGGCCCTGCATACATTGTATAAATCGCAGGAAAAACCGCATGCATCAGGACTCCAAAGCCAACAGCTAACTTGGAGCATTATGGAGTAGTCACCTAAGACTACGGCCTGAGCCAGCTGCCAGGTTAGCTCACTGCTTTCATTTTGCGGAAAATCACGTGCCAACATTGCTGCTGCTTTTGGAGATGAGCATAGCAGAGCCCTGCCAAGAACGCCATGAAATACGGACTCAGAGAGGATGAGCCCTGACAAAGGTCCCACAAATGTGACAAAGAAGCTTTCGGCCCGGGGTTTGATCTGCATTTTTCAAGAAGTAAGTGCCAAATGCAGGTTGACATTCGAAACCCTGCCAGCAGCAAAATGATCTTCGTTTCGTGCTTGTGAGTCGAGCTAGGGGCAGCGCCAACAAAACGCCACAGGCCGCGCCTGGGCACTGCCCCTGCAGCACCGCTATGCTTCTGCTACCGTTCTTCAGTTAAGTTGAAAGCGTCTGTCCCAATGATATGTAGACACTTTTTCGCTAACCTCTTCGAGAGCCGGTTGCCTTCAGCATCTTAAGCCTCGGGAACGCATGGGCTTGCGTTGGTTGACCAAGTTGCTCCAGACAACAGTAACAGCCCCCAGGACTTCACGCAGAAGATATGAGGTCTCACAAAGCGGTGTCACAAGCATGCAATGGCTACAAAACACACTGTTCGAGGGTAGCCTAAGCTGGGAGATTTCAACAACAACAACAACAACAACAACAACAACAACAACAACAACAACCACAACCACAACCACAACCACAACCACAACCACAACGACAACGACAACGACAACGACAACGACAACGACAACCACAACAACAACAACAACAACAACAACAACAACAACCACCAAAACAACCAGAACAACCACAGCAACCACAACCACAACAACCAC